TAGTTCAGTGATCTCTGTGTGCTAGGACAGTTACATACCTGTTCCTGCAAGGAGTTTGGTCCTGCTAAAATGTTCTTCTTTCAACAGTTTATATGTAGTAATTCTGGGTGGTGCTGGGCCAGTGTAGTGCTTAGTGGCAGATGGTAACCTTTGCTTCAGGCTGAGCCAAATGCTTCTGGATTCTGACTCCACCTTTTCTCCTTTACAATGTCCTCCCTGAATTTGCACCCCGAACCTGAACAAAGTCTGGCAAAGTCATTGTAAAGATCTGATTGATTTATCCTGGGGTTTTGGACACAAATAGTTACAAAATTATGGCTGTGCATATGCCAAGATTTGCCTGGACTTGCCACGTTTCCCCTTGGCTGCTTTACCAAGAGATTGGATATAATCAATCTCCACACTGTTAATTCAGCAATATATATTTGCACTTAGCTTTGATGTAAAGTAATGCCAAGTCTCTCTTTTTCTTCTCTCTTGATTCAGAGGAAGATCTCTTGGAAAGATATCCAGTTGCTGATGCTTATATTCACAGCACTAGGAAGAGGCAACTCCATTTTCATAGCAGCAGCTTCCTTCCTTTGCCAAGTGTTCCCCCTGGTACAGGGACATGATGAATTTTGCAGAATGAGATGTGTCTGTCTCTGAGGGAGAACACAGTGAGTGCGTCATGATGGGCTGCTTAATTGTGTGCAGCAGAGCTATGCAAACAATCCAAGTAGGAAAGGATTAGTCAGCCCCCTGAGAAAGTGCAGGTGGAGTTTCTTTTTAACCAGTTTGTTTATAACCTTGGCCACAAAATTTGGTCATGCTTTGGCTCGTATTCAAAATGGAAAAGGACAAAAAGGATGTAGGGACATCCTTTGCCCAGTATTTATTATTTCTTTTTTGGGAGATCAAGACCCACTGAAACTTCCTCCCATTACAATCATTCTAGCTCCTTTCAACTCAGGAAACCAAAAGCACAGTTTTAAGTCTGAGTATTTCTTTGAAAAATCTGAATGCACCAGAACCCCAAATACTGTGATTATAAAGCAGTATGTCTCAAAGGAGCTGAAAATTGTGACTTCCCTGTGGGCTGAGTTCTGTAGTTGCATTTTATCCCCTGTCAGACATTTAGCTCCTCTGATGCTCACCCTCACCATAACATGTGCAGTGGGATCAGGACATGAGAGCAGGCAGCACTCAAACCACAATTCCCATGAAGTGTCGCAGCACCATTTCAGACTAGAACACATCTCATTTTATTTTTTTTTGCCCTAAAGGTGTCGTTTCCCACAGATAAAAGTACTCACCTGGGCAAATCCAAAGGCTTGGCTTCCTCACAGGCAGCACCTTGCCACTGCGGTATGATCTTTCTTCCCTATGATGCTGCAGCTTGATTGCTCCTCATCCTTGTAACAGCGTGCTATAGGCTGTGGCACATTCTTTCTGACAGAAATAGTAAATGAAAGCAAACACCCCAGAGCCTTCTTAGTATTTTCCAATAGTGATGCAGAAGTTCAGGGTCTTTGCTGAATGCTGTGTTTTCACAGAATCACAAAATCAACCTGGTTGGAAGAGACCTCAAAGATCATCGAGTCCAACCCTACCATCGTTACTAGACCATGGCACTAAGTGCCACATCCAGTGTCATCTTGAAAACCTCCAGGGATGGTGAATCCACCACCTCCCCAGGCAGCCCATTCCAATGTCTGATTACTCTTTCCATAAGAAATCTCTTCCTAATATCCAGCCTAAACCTCCCCTGGCAGACCTTGAGTCTGTGCCCTCTTGTCCTACTGCTGGGTGCCTGGGAGAAGAGACCAACCCCCACCTGACTACAACCTCCTGTCAGGCAGTTGTAGAGGGTGATAAGGTCTCCCCTGAGCCTCCTCTTCTCCAGGCTAAACACCCCCAGCTCCCTCAGCCTCTCCTCATAGCACTTGTGCTCAAGTCCCTTCACCAGCCTCGTTGCTCTTCTCTGGACCTGCTCCAGCACCTCAATATCCTTCCTGAACTGAGGGGCCCAGAACTGCACACAGTACTCAAGGTGTGGCCTCAACAGCACAGCGTACAGGTGCAGAATCACCTTCCTGATCCTGTTGACCATACCTGTTTTGTATCCATGTGAATGTCTAGTGCCTCGTAAAGCTTGTTAGAGCAGTCAGATTTAAGGAGGTCAAATCATTCTCATAGCAGGAATTTAGTGAAGGAAATCTGACACTCCTTCTGGAAACAGGTGCCATAGGATTTATATGAACCATGAGTATTCAGCTCTAAACCTACCAGAAATCTGTAGTCTTATGGAAGCTCTGCTTTAGACTTACAGATGTGCCAGTTCTTTTGTTGTTAGTTCACAGCAAGAGGGATCCATGGAAG